TGTTGTTCGGGGTACAGTTGAGGTTTTAATGAAGTTCGAGCGAATAAATAATTAGCAAAAAAAAGTTGAAATAAAGTGATTAAACAAAAATTATTACAAATATCGTAAATAACAGTTCACAAATGCGTCCTTGCAGCTAGATTCTAGATTACTTAGAAAAACAGTCTTTTATATATATATATATATGTAAAACTATATTACATACAAATAAAACCCAGCGAAGCGGGTCCTTGCAGCTAGTTGTTTTATAAAATAAAATCGATTATACTAGATTATAATAAATAGTAACGATTTACGCTGAAGTGTACAAATACAAACACCATAACAGAATAAATGTACCATAGAAAACTAAATTTTAACTAATATACTTTTAATTAATTTATTCTGTATTTATTAAATTTAAAAAATTACAAATAACTGTAATTACAAGTAGTGATAAGGTAAATGATTCTAAAAGTTTCAAGTACATTCTTAATATCAACGATTGGGTTTATATTTACTTTGCATCACGAGAAAATATTTTAAGTAAAGTAACTTGACTTTAATTTTGAAAATGTTTTTCATAAAATCTACTCTCCTATTAATTAATTAATAAAGTATTCATTTTGTTAAAGATAATTCATTTTTAAATAGTTTTTTTAACGTTTCCAAAGCGTATAATTTTGGTATCGTAACGATAGCAAAGATTAAAGTTAGTAGATTATAGCCGATCTTACCCGTTTTCACCGAGTGCAACAATTAGGTTTCGATACTGAGTATAAAATTTTTAGCTATCTGCTTACCACACTGGGATAACGACAATTAAGGTTGGCAGCAACCACTAACCGCTAAGTGATTAATAACAAACGTTTTCGTAGCCGCTTCTGGGTTCTTTTTCAGGTATACTAAATTCGAAAAATATGCTGGATCTTCTCAAATCTTATAAATATAAAATCAAACATTAAGACGAAGAGTTCGAATAGAGCCAACTCCCCGTGTAAACTTTATATACGATGGAACCAGTGGCGTAGCGTGAATGTCAGCCGCCCGGGGCAGAGGAAAATTTCGACATCCCATTATTTAGGTATCTCAATTTAAAAGACTAAAATTCAGTTTCGTCACAGAATAAGTAATGAAAAATTCCGTGCTAGTGTTGCCACCTTTTTAAAATCGCTGACCCGGACGGCAGGTGAGGTTTGTTCGAACAGAAGTTCCTGATGCATGCGTATATCATTTTGCAATGCGAAGAATAATTTGCAGTGCATGCCGGTTCTAGATGAGGTACAGTTAGCGACTAGGGAGACTTGGATACGAGTAACACAAGTGATCTAGCTCTATTGGATATTGGAGGTGTATATGATTGCGAATGAATCGTACTGTACAAGCAAAAAAAAAAAATCGACAGGTCGCGCACAGTATCTCCGGACGGCGAGTCGGATGGTAACACTATTCCGTTCTCATTTCAATCGGTCCGAATCGTAGGTGGACGAAATATGAAATCAAATGGTTCAAATTCTTACAAGATATTATTATTATTTATTGTGAAATTCTGCTGCCCCCTATAAAGTGCCGCCCGGGGCGGGCCGCCCCTGTCGCCCTCCCTACGCTACGCTACTGAATGGAACGCTAAATATCGTTGAGAAGGGTCTAAAAATATGTTCGATTTCTTGCATAAATGCAGAAAAGACATTTAAAATAGAATAGTAGAAACATTATTCTTCACGGTGGCGAAAAAACAAGAATAATAAAGACAAAGAAAATCGGAAATTACAACTTACGTTCAGCCGAACGTCGGAAAAAGCAGTTAGAAGTAGCAAATTTCCGGAACCCATAGCTCTGGAAAAAACACTCTGATCCGGAAAAGAAGAAACGCCGTTGGAGACAGCTCGACGAAACGAATCAGAAAATGTATTTATATGTAGAAGAATAGAGAAAACTCTCGAAGAAAAACTTTGCGAAACGAACAACTGAGGTCTTGGATGACTGCTCAATCGATACTTTTTGTCCTTATGTTATTCTTGCACTGCAAAAAACTGTTTGTGACGATTGGAACCGAAGAACAATTTTCAGTTGCACATCAAAAGTCGAAAAGTGCAAACATTATTTCCGGACTCTTCAAACATTCTTTATTTTTTCCATCATTTATAATTTACGTCTTCGGGTTGGTTCAAAAGATACGATGCAGCCATTCCTCCCTATTCAGTGTTGTTATTTTCCTAAACATATCAAAAGCAAATGGCCGAAATAAAAAAATCTAACGGCAAAATTTCAGAAATTTTTAAAATTCTCCTCAGATATTAAGCTTTAAATTTCGTAAAAAATATCTTGCCCCCACAGACTATTATTGATTTTTACATCACGCTATGGGAGAAACCCCTGAATTGCTGGCACTGCATCTGCTAATGTGTGCGTATCGTCCACTTTTACATTGGAATCAATGGAAACGTTTGGCTTTGTTCGGTGCCGTCGTTAGAGCCGGGCAACGGGCCAAGTGTCTAAAGGTGGCCCGCCCTTCAGGAGTCTAGTTTTTTGGTTTTTAAAGTTTTCGCGGTAATGTGACGTTGTGCTCACAGGAAATGCATTAAACCACAGTAGCTTCCTTGTATCACGTTTAAGTATTTATAACGCAGAATATGGTAAAAAAAATTCTTCTTGTATTCGGATAGAGAAAACGAGCACGTTTATTTGATTACCAAGAAACGGATACGCGTACAAATAATCCCGAAACAGTTCCATAGGAACTATTGTTTTTAGCAATAATATACCAAGGAATAATCTGTACTTTTTGAAGAGCAAAGGGCCATTTTTGGTTGCCTTCGCAACATTTCTACATTAAAGACGAGGACGACCTTATGAATCATTTATGCATTTAGATTTAGCATCGAATAACGAATATAATCGGAATATAAAGGTGACGATTCATAAGACGAAATTCGAATATTTCGTGTCTACGCTACATTGATATAACTAATGAGACTCTATTACAATGTGTGAATAGCTTCCCGAATGTATTGTCCATACAACACAAATATGCGAAAAATTCGATTTTGACGACGTAGTTAAGGATTTGGCACTGGCTCCCTTAATCAAAAATAAGAGCCAAATGGAATAACAGGGCTAACGAGAAGTGTATCTTAGACAATGCGATTATTGCTTTAATCAGCGAATTCCGACATATTTAAGCAAACTCGTTTTTTTTTAAGTAGAATCATTCAAGGATACAAGATTATGTTTTATTTTTAATTTAATTAGAAATGAGAAAATATCGTCGATGTAATTTTTAATTCTTTGCTTATCTTTTAAATTCTATAAATTTCCAGAGTGATTTAATTTTATTCATTTATCTATTTCTAGATTGAATTGCCAACATTCCAAGTGAGTACGGTTGCTAACAATTTTTAACATAAAAATTTATCATCAAAATTTTAGTTTTTAATATCAAGTATAATTTTTAAAAAAATATTTCGCGAATAATTTAATAAATTATATAAAGTTTAAATAATATTTTTATAATAAAACAGACCATGTAATATAGATATAGGCTTAAGTTTGTTTAAAATTTATTATAACTTCACCAAGTTTCTAGTTTTACCTGCAGCAATAATTATTCATGTCAGAAACAAAAATGAATTACGATTCTCTCTGCATTTTTAGCATATCATTGAAGATTTAAAAAGCAGTGCTGTAGAATAGATCAGAAAATATTGTTAATAAGACATTAAAATAGATTGTGAATTGTTTTAAATATTTTGCATAAAGTTTGAATGACAATTTAAAATAAATTATTTATTTTTCTCGTTTATTTTAATAAATAATCTTCAATGAATAATTAGAGTTTTTTTTAACATTAGTAACCGTGTTTTCTCAGTCACTTCTGTACTTTCTGTGTTGCTTAAATGTATTGTAGAGCTATTTATAGCCATAGTAGCAAGAGTGAGGACAGAATTTTCAGAAATTTAGTAGTATTTTCATCCATATAGCCAAGGATACTAATATGATTATCATATACAGCGCTATAATTTTGTTATTTATATTATCGATTTATCTATATACAGGATTAAAAGTACCCATAATAAAAAAAAGCTTTTAAATTCTATATTTCATTATTATGCGCAGTTTTATCATAATTAATATACAATAAATAATGAACTTAACAGAAACCCATGTTTCGGAAAGGGTTTAAGCAAATAGGCTTTTAATAGGGACTAGCAGGAACACGTTGAAATCGACGGCTTTATTCAATTAAAATACAATCATAAAGCTTATTTTACTAATAAATACTTTTTTTATTACAGATTCTAAAAAATTAAAATAGTTTAGTTTAAAAATAAAGTAAAATTAAGAATCACTTTTATTATTTAAATAAGTAGTGTAAATGTGTAAATTTATTAATGTTAAATAAATTATGCAAAAAGTATTTTAATTAATGCCTAATTAGGAAAAAAACAAGAATTCAGAGTAGAGGATAGAGGATAGTTGTTCTAACGCTTAAAAAACTAAATTGCTAGATGAAGCGGATGAGCCCGACATGTTTGTCCCTGTATGCTTCACATTGTATGTTTGCCACTCCGCCACGCGAGAACCATTTCAAATTTCTCAAATCTGTCTCGGCGGCATCATCTACAGGATAAGAGTTTTAATTTGATACCTGAATCATGATTTTACCCTCAGCCATTCTCTCAAACAAAGCTGGAGAGTATTTGAGGCTTTCCAAATTAATATGTAACATAGATAATACGGCAGCAGCAAAAACAGAAGTAACAAATATTTTGAATTTAAAACTATTTGAAAAATACTTGAAATAATATCCTACTATTGTCAATTTATTGTACAATATTATAAAAGCAGTTTATTTTAAATGCAAATAAATCAATCGACTTTGTTTTTGTTTTCGGTAAATAACTGAATGTCAACATTTAAATTTTTAAATGTAATTTATGCAAATATTTATTTAAAGTTTTGTTATGCGTATTTTTCACATTATAGTACTGATCGCTGGATATCATATAAAATAATTATATATCGCTAGATTACTTTTTATGTAAGTAAGTAAGTAAGTAATCTTTATTGGTGTAAAAGATATTTATCTTTTACGCCAATAAAGAATTAATCTTTATTGGCATAATTACTATATGAGATGTTAATATGCGTTTATTCAAAATTAAAACGCCCTTGTAACAGGCGAAAGCCTTTTACGCCAATAAAGATTAATTACTTACTTTTTATGTATAAATTATGATAGAATCAGTTAAAATTCTATATTTTAAATCATTTTATTTTAATAATTACTGCAAAAGTTTTATTCCATTTTATTATTTATTAATCTAAGCAGTTACTCTTCGAAATAATTTATATTAGTATATATTATCAGAAGGAAATAAGGAAGAAAAGATAATAAACATAACGAGAAGTTCACGCTGAACGTAAAGTTATTTATTTGTTTTATATTATCAATACCATCCTTTACATTGAGAAATATTTTGATTCATTATACAAGACTAAATAAGAATTTTTAACATCTTATACGTATTTTTATATTGTTATAAATTTCGATCTTATAATACAATATACAAACAGCGAATCCTTTATTTACCGTCGTATGATACTTTAAATTCACACAAAATACAGTTAACTAATTAGCATATTTTAGTACAGTTAAGAGGTATTAATTTATTATTAATATTGTATTTTTAGCCCAAAATTGTCAGGATAAACTGTGTCACAAGCGTCAATAAACATAAAATAATCTGAAGTTTGGTGCAAGAAATATACTGCTAATAAAATAGTTTAACGAATTAAAATTTTAATTCTTTCATTTATTATTTCATAATAGTAATTAAGAGAATGTAATATTATTTTATAATAATGTTTCAAGTAGTAAAACAAACCTTCAAGCAATAAATTATGGATTGTTCTTTGAAGGTTTCTTATAAGGAAGAAAGTCATTTATGCATATAAGTTAATCTTGTTTATAAAAACGTGTGTAAATGCTTACAAGATAAAATGAAGAATATGACAATGGAGGAAAAACCCCGATACCTGGATGTGTAAAACTTGAGAAAAACTATATTAAATTAAATTCCGAAGTCATTCGAAACTTGTCGATTGAAGATTTGACTATTTGAAATATTGTTGTAGACCTATAATGTACAATACAATTAAATTTTCTTAATTATTGACTTAGCATTTAATACATATCGTAATCTTATTATGAAATGATAAATAAGAATTAAATTCTTAATTTGTTTTACAAATTTTCATTAAAAAATATGTTATTTATACGTAGTTTTAATTGAAATAATCATGTTTAAAATAACTTAAAAACCGTTATTTGATACCCTATTATTACATGAATTTATAAAGAAATGTTTACGCATACGCATGAAAACAATTGGTGCAATATAAAATAAATTGAAAAATAATGCACATTATTTTAGTATTGACTCTGCAGTTATAATTGACAAACGTAGAAGAGTAATTCGCTTTAAACAGACCCATTAATTAATACACGAAATTTAACTTTAGAATGCGGAAAGCTATCTACTTTTTGTCACTCTTGGCAATGGTCGTGGTGAACGAAGCTGCTTCTAGAGGTATGTTATAAAATATTTTGAAAAAGAAAATACATTTTACGAAGTGAAAAGATTTTTATTTCTTGAATTAAACATTTCAGATAGAAATAACAAACCGTACAGAGTAGTCTGTTATTTAGGAAGTTGGGCCAATTACAGACATGGTGAAGGAAAATTTGTAATTGAAGATATCAATCCTTTTATTTGCACTCACTTAGTATACGGATTTGCCAAATTGGAGTTAGATAATAAAATAGTCGAATATGATCCGTATTTGGATCTTAAGGAAAATTGGGGTCTCGGCGCTTATCAAAGATTCAACGATTTAAAGAAGAAGAACCCAAATTTAACGACATTATTAGCCATAGGTGGATGGAATGAAGGCTCTATTAAATATTCTAAAATGACATCTAGCCACAAAACTAGAAAAATATTTGTTGATAGCTGCTTAAGATTTCTAACGAAATACAATTTTGATGGTTTGGATTTGGATTGGGAATATCCTGCTATGAGAGGAGGAAAACCCGAAGATAGAACAAATTTCATTTATTTAATACAGGTTAGTGTTTTCCAATAATATAATAATATAATAAAATATGTTACTTAAATAATAAAAAATGTATTATTGTAGGAATTAAAGAAAGCTTTTGAACCACACGGCTTTTTATTAACGGCTGCTGTCTCTGCTGGAAAGCCTACTATTGATGTAGCTTATAATATTCCTCAAATGTCGAAGTAAGATTTAATCAAATATAATTTTTTATGCCTAAAGGAAACGTATTTAAAAATGCTTTTTACTTTAGATATTTAGATTTTATTAATTTAATGGCATACGATTTTAATGGTGCATGGAATTCTTTTACTGGTCATAATTCTCCTCTTTATGCTCGTGAAGAAGAACCAGAAAGTCAAAAAATATTCAATGTAGTAAGTATAATAATGCAATATAATTATGACTTCATTATATATTTTAATTTAATTATGTATATAATTTAAATTTTTTCTGGAAACTATTTTTTATCTTCATTTAGGATTTCGCAGTTAATTACTGGTTAAACAATGGATGTCCAAAACATAAACTTGTACTTGGAATGCCTTTATATGGCCGATCATTTACCTTGAAAGATGCTAATAAGCACGGTTTAGGTGCATATGCTACTGGACCAGGAACGGCAGGACCAGTTACAGGTGAAGGAGGCATGTTGGGCTATAATGAGGTACATTGAATTACTTACTTTTCAACGTTTCAATAAAAATTCCTTAATATAATTTCATTTAAACAGATATGCAAATTTATTACACAAGAAAATTGGAAGACAGAATGGGATGACTCGATTAAATCACCATACGCCCATAAAGATAGACAATGGGTCGGCTATGATGATCAAAAGAGTATAAAAATAAAAGTATTTATAATTTTATTTATTATAGTCGACTTAAAACTAAAAGGAACAGCTATAAAATATTTTTTTCTTTCAGGTTGACTATTTAAAAAGACACGGGTTAAGCGGTGGTATGGTGTGGTCCATCGATACAGATGACTTTGGAGGATTATGCCACGGCCATAAATTTCCCCTTTTAAGTATTATAAAAAATGAACTAAATGGGCCTGATACAGATCCGACTGTATTTCCTGACAATTTTAAAACAACAAATTACGGAAAACCTGACCAAGTACATACAACAAATCCGCCTAAACCAATTTACACGACTAAAATACCAGAGGTTGTAATAGAATGTGAAAGTGTTGGCTATTTTAGATATCCTGGAGACTGTAGTAAATTTTACCAATGTTATAAATTAGGAAACAATTTTGAAGTTGCTATTTACAATTGTCCACCGAATACAGTTTTCGATACAAAAGAAACCGCTTGTAACTATCCAGAATTTGTCGAAGGATGTTAAGAATTTTCCATTAATAATAAATGCGCTTGCACAATATTAATTTATGTTTAATTACAATTACTTAAATAATTACTTTCAAATAATAATCGTCATCAAAAAAGTAAAATTTCTGAATGTTATATTCATAAATTAACATCACTTCTATGAAAGTGTTAGAAAAATGTTTTAAGAAGACACTTTTTAATGATATTTTTTAAGCTTTAATAATTACGTACATTTATTATCACAACAAAGCTTGTGTAAATAGGAATCTCACGGTAGATGATTATCTATCTATTTGTAACAAGTTTTAGTTTTACTTTTCCTTTATCTTTAAATTGTATCAGATAAATGTCACACATTTATGTTCATTTTTATAGTAAAATCTCTTTTAGATACGTAAAAGTTTTATTACTAGGCTTAATCCAAATAAATCCAAAGTTATTCCAACGAAAGATGGAAGTATCGAGAGCTATTCTATTTCAAAAAGTTCTCCTTATCCCCGAAAACTTGTAGGTATTTTTATGGATAAGAATCGTATCCGAGAATTTGAAAAGTATTCACTGACGAACATAGAATACTTGTAGTATTAGAAGTAGAATGATCTCGAGTTACTTACCTTATGTTTACTACAAAGGAAATTAATGTATTGAACGTAAAATAATCTCTTGCACATATGAGGCAAATAATAATTAATATTTAATAGTATATCTGTAACTTATTTGCATTGTATTATCACTTTTATCAATACTTTTCCGGCTGTTATGTATGCATAACAAGGGAAAGTGTTGCCCTGCCCTGCCCAGCGCTGCCCTGGAATCGTGTCAAATTTAACCATCCAGGTTTTTGCAAATCTCCACGTTTTGAGATCTCTGAACCCTCCAAAAAAGTAAAAAATAATACGTAATTCCACAGACACGCGCGCGACCATGAATTTTTTTTTGTGTGTATTTATGTTGGGGTCTATTTCGTTTAATCTCAAATTTTGGTAATGATTCAGAAACGAAATTTGACACGATAAGCTTGTGTATAAAAGACATCGAGGCTATTAAATTTTGGTGGAGTTAATGGGGAGATAGAGGGAGTCACATATATCTCGAGTGGGGTCGGATTTAATGAATATTTTATTCGTTACAGTCTTTATAAAACTCATTTCTACCCTAAAAATTAAGTTTTTTGCCATTTTATAATAATTAATAATATAAGATTCTAAATATCGCTTTTGGATAGCTGTTATTATGTTCAATGTATGTCTTGTCTCTTTAATCCGACATTAAGTTCGGTAGACTATCATTACAGCTTTCAGGTTAGACACTTCTTTTATTGTTTCCACATATGCATTTCGGACTTATATAAATGTTAAGTCCCTCTTCAGTGCAATACTATGGTTCTGTCTCCTAAAACCACGGTGTACAACGGGTAACATTGGAAAGATTTTAAAATACAGCCATTAAAAACACCTCAAATACATTTTCACCATTAAGACGGAAAACTTTTAACATTTGTTCATAAAATCTTATATAAGTACAACTTTTAAAGAATGTGTATGTTCTACGATATAACGCTGTCGCTGAACTTGATGTCGGATGAAAGAGACAAGACATACATTGATAATAATATGTTATTTTTTTAAACTGTTAAAGAGTAAACTGGCTGAGAGCCATGTAGATCTACGAACGCTAAGTCGTCCCTATTCACTACTGTCATACAATTGCCAATCGTTTTGTCATATAGTCCTACCTTTCCAAAACTAACGGTTTAATGACGCCACAGTGTATAGTAAATACAGATTCATTTATAGTTAATATAACATATATTTTGTATACAGATTTATATGTTTTATTATGTTTAATATATTAACATTTTTAATATTATTAAACTTTTCTTCATCGTAAGGTTAAATACCCTAACGTTTCCACTTGTCATTAGTGCAGCTGGCATTCATTCATCGCTTGCTGGCCAAATTGCTTAGGCTATCATTCTCGCCGTTCTCACATTCTATTATTGATTAATGTATATAAAAAATAAGCTATAGTACAAGAATACATCATCAATCCTGTTTGAAAATTTCTTTAGTAAATTGATAACTTCTTAGTTTTAATTTAGTAATAATTTCAATTTTGATTTATACACTTTAATATAAATAAATACAGTAATGACAAATAAATCTTACATACATCTTTTTAATGATGTATTTACTTATAAGTTTGGAAGGAAAGAAGAGATTTCAGTATTTTTTTTTTTTTTTTTTTTGTTAGCAATTTACATCGGTTAACTTGTACTGTATGCCGGGAGTCACGAATATTTTAAAGTCATTGTTAAAATCTACAGAATTAGTTATAAAAATGAAATTAATATAATGTTTTAAATTTTTTTTATAAATAAAAGTTATCAAACTAATACAGCGAAACATAATAAAACGAAACTCTCACTCTCCTTATTAAATAATTAGTGCCAGCACATGGAAAATTTCTTAAAAATAGCCAAATTCAATGCTCTGTTATATGCATGAAGAAAAACAAAAATGATTTTTATGAGCAGTTGCTCTTGTAAGCAATATTATAGTAATTTTTTTTTAAATCTAAACGTTCTATTATTAGTCTAACTTAATAATAGTTGATTTATTCATTAAGTACTGATAAGCAAGCGATACATCGCACAATGGTTCGTATTAAGAATCTGACTGGACGAAAGGTTAAAATTTTTGTACATTAAGGCATTATTTAAGATACTTTGATGTGATCCTAAATGGTTATGTTTTTATGAGTAACATCCAGTATTAATCTTTAATCTCAAAAGACACTGTGGCCATTTGGCCTTTTTCAAGTACCTCAAATATACAAAAAACAAACAACAGAGGAACAAAAAGTATCTGAAAATCAGCAAAAAAAAAAAGAAGAAGAAGAAATTAACAGGATTCCCACAAAAGTATTGAAATATCCCTTATTTAGCACTGCAATCTTTACATCACTTACATCGACCGGCATTATCTTCTGATATTCTCCTTGTGTACACGTAATTTGTGACCGATCAAATAAAGATATTTGGTAAATAAAACTACATTCATGTTTCCTTAGTTTTAATACACTTTAAAATTTTTACACATTGTTATTCTCTGTTTTGGTCTATGTATTTTTAAGGTCATATTTCTTTAAATTTTTATTGTATTCATTAAAGTTTTAGGCCTGCAATAGCAAACACCGTCGAAGTCGTTTGTGAAACCATATTAATCATTTCAATTAGTCATCTGAGTGTATAAGTATATTTGTTTTATGACCATGTTGAACCAACTTTTTTTAAAATAATTTTTTAGTGACGGAGAACGGAATTTTAAGAATAGAGCTATTTTAAGTTTGGAGAAACGAACCGAACGTTCTAAGAAGATTGGCCCATGTGTGTGATTATATGTCTAAAAGTGGTCTGAAAGATTCTGAAGGGTATATTTGTGAACGACTGACAAAAGTACTAAATTTTGTAAAAAGCTTAATTAAAGGACGATAGTCCAACTGGCATTAATGTTGAAAGAATTCATGGATAAAAATAGTGATTGGGTAAACGTTAAAATTTACTTTTTTTTGGTGCAAGCGGAGTTTCAGGGAGCATCATACCCGTAAATTTTCTAGAAGCGATACAATGCTGTATAGTGCATTATTATTTTCCGTGCGTCATTTTGAGGGCAGCGCTCTTTAATTAATGAAAGGTTAAAAATAATATTTTTAGTTGTCGGGTCGTGTTACGTCTAACGGGGATCTTAGCCGGGCACAAGTTCAAGGTGGTGAGTCCGTACCCCAAGGTTCAAATCTTTTCTCTGGTATATGTTCGTTCTTCTTCTTGCTTCTTGCACTCCCGAAGTCCTAACAAGTGACTAAATCACAAAGTGTCTGACCCTGCGGTTCCTCTCGTATCGCGCAGGATTATTCTCGCAAAGACTACCGTTTCCGTGGCTAGGGGGCCTTAGGAGTGTTTAGTCATAATTCCACGAATAATGGCTTCGCACCACTGGCCACTCGACCAAGCACATGTACAGTACAAAGTGTCCGTTACAGGTCGTTATTGGGAATGATCGTTGTTTAAGGTTTTTGCATGCATTCTGTACAGAAAAAACCAAACAAAAGAAAACGTTCTTGAATAAATGGCCGTCATTTAGAGATGGCCTTTTTGGAGGTTTGAAGCGTATTATTTTTAAAAATAAATTATATGCAACTATGGATTGTGTTTTAATTGCGCTAATCCTTACGACGCACAGTGGTTGCGAACAAGTAATCTGGCTGGACAAAATTATGTTTTTCTTTTTTTTTGCGTGTATGTTAAAAATATATAAAGATGTCTACTATTAACACAGTGAATTATTAATTTTTAGTGCGAATAATAATTTTCAAAAATTTTGGTTTTATTAACACAAAAATAATAAAATAAGGTGATGAAAAAAAACAGTGACTGTGAAAAAATAAAATATATATTTGAAATACAGACTTCGTTAAGAGTTATTTCTTTATTCAAATATTATTATACTCGTCGTCGTCATCTTCACTGTTATTGTAAGCTTCAGCCTCAGTAGAATTAGTCATTATCGATAAGATGGCTAGTTTGATTACTAACTTTTCACCTAGTTAATTAATAAACTTGAATTTAAAGATAAAAAATGAATTTTTTTAAAAAAGCTACTTAAGGAGTGTGGAGCATATACCGTAAAATGAGGTGACTTCAGCCCATGTAGGTGATTGTGACCAAAATATTAAACAATAATAATAAATTCCTACAACTTCCGAAATATAAAATAATTGTAATGTAGTTAAATTTTTGGAAATGGATATCAATTTAGCTTATAGAAAAAATACAACAAAAAATTAATGAATACAGTAAGTTCAAACACTTCTGGTGAGAAAGATTTGCCACAACTTCACAAATGTTCAGCGGATTTTCTATTAAATTAAGCGTATAAAACTTAAAGGGAAATAAAGGAATTTTAGCACGACTTTCCTGGTGACATTAAACATCAGTTTAATTAATATTCAAGTTGCCGACTAAATAGTTATTCGGCGGATGTGATTCATCAGATTC